AACTAAGGTGTTGGCAAAAAGAATATCTAGAACTATAGTAGAAAAAGAAATATTTTAAGGTCCAAATTATATAGGCTTACTAGGAAACTCAACAGAAGAAGCAATTCATATAGTAGAAATGTTAAGAGAGGATGCTAAAGAGAATAGTAAAGAGCTGTAATTATTAATGCAAGACATGAAAAAGGCATTTGATTTAGTGTTAATAAGGTCACTTCACTTGGTATTACAAAAAATTAAGTTGCCAGAAGAAACAATAAAATTTGTAATAGAGCTGTATGATAGAAAGAAAGTTAGCATTATAACAGAATTTGGGACTACAAAGTTATTTGTTGCAGATGATGAAATTGAACAAGGAGAAACAATCTTTTTATTAGTTTAGCAGATATTTTATAATCTACTTTTAAGAAGAGTTCAAAACAAGATGAGTTTAAGATATGAAATTGAAGCATATAAAGTACTAGATCTACAAATAAATAAAGTTAAAAAAAAAAGAACAAGGCAAGTAGCAATAGCCTACACTGATGACACAACCTGAATAGCAAAAAGCAAAAAGAAGATGCAAGCAATTGTACAAATTTCACAAGGATTTTTTAAGTTCAATGATATTCAGATTAATAATGCTGAATCAAAGTTGTTGGCAATTAATTCAAGTATAAGAAGTGAAGAAAGATAAGTAGTAATAGGTTCAGATTAAGTACAGGCTGAAGGAAAGTATATACTAACAAGACTGTTAGGAGTATGGTTGAGTATCGAAGTGAATAAAAGATTAGTTATAAAAAAGGTAAAAAATATCATGCAGCAATTTATAAGAAGCTTATGTTCTAAAAAATTAACTATTAGTTAGCTAATATATATTAACAATATGTATATAATACCAAAACTGGTGTACATACTGTAAACAACAAAAGTGTTCAAGAAGTGCATAAATTGCTTACATCAGCCAGTGATTAGATTAATTAAAAACAAATTAGGTCTGCCAGCAACTGTAGAAAATAGTATAATTGCACATCAAGGTTTAGAAAGTTGTAGTGTGCTAAGTCAGAAAGTATTTAATAATCAGCTGGTTTTATTATAAAGAAGACTAAATAAGCCAGATCAAGTTGGTGAAATAACAAGAATATGTGTAAAACACAGTTATGCTTTAGCAGGACTAATATCAGAAGAGATAAATACAACATATACAAGTAACTTAAGAAAAATATAGAAAAGAAATCTTGCATGCTTGATACTACTACAAGCAAGTGAAATAAGTTTAAAGATAAAGGCAGAAGAAGTTCTTTGGCAAGTTTTTGGTACAGATAAAACTGTACAGAGCTTGTTGGAGAACAAAATATCTAAAATGGCTTGTAAAAAGCTAATGCAGAGTAGATTGTTTTTTATACAACAGTTAATAGATCAAAAAGGTAAAAGAATGATTATAAAAAAAAATTTAAAGCATTATGTACAAGTATACAAAAATGATGAAAAGCAAAATAGTTTGCTGAAATTGAACAAAAGATGTTAAGAGACCAAGTAAATAGAACTACATTATACTTTTAAATTACTTTAAATAAATTTATTAATACTAGTAAATTTAAAGATATATTAATTAGATCTAATTTTTTTTAAAAAAATTAAATCATAACTTTATAATATATAGTATTTGGATTAAATAATGAATTCTAGAGATTTAAGATACAATTAAATATGAACAGATATAAGTCAATTTTAATATTAAAATATTATTAACTTGAATTTATAATTTAATTTTCTGGATAACTTTAATAAAAAGATAAAAATATTGTTAAATAATAAGATATAAAAAAATTATACTTTATAATAACTAGACAAATTCAAACTAAAAACCAAATACAGTTTAAAAAAATTAAATTAAAAAATTTTGTCAATTATATTATATAACTAGGCTGAGTAGTAGGTATTCTGCCCTATCTGTTTATGTAATATTTTAATTTCTAAGCTCTTACCCTAGACCTAAAAACTAATATCAAGCCTGGTCTATTAAATCTATGAGTACTTATAAACTACCTATAAGCCTAAACATAATTCTATTTCACTAGCAATTATTTAAATTATCTAATAATTTTCTCTTAAAAATAGAATATTATGAAAAAATATCATCTTGAAATAATATAAACCTAATGCATTTAAAAAAATTTATTCATGAGCAATTTAAATACAATAATTAGCTCAATAAGGATCTATTTTATAATAAACTTAATATAAAATGAATTTGTTTTATATTAAACAGCATAAAATGAATTAGTCTTATGCATAAAATGAATTTATTTTATGCTAAATAGTATAAGATAATTAGTATAAAGCAATATTCACTTTTATTTAACAGTTATGTTAACTTTTATTTTAAGTAAACATTATTTTATGTATAGAGTATATTGTATTTTAATTCATTAACTTATTTTTCATGAATTTTAGTGATTACATTCATTTTATTTTAATTAATTGTATACTTTCTTTTAATTTATTAATTTGATAGCATTCTTTTTATAATACTATTCACAGATATTTATAGATAGCCCAGACCCATGTAAAGGCCTATATGTAACTATATATAAGTATATACTGTACACTATTTGTCTAATAAAGATTATAAGAATTGAATTTGATTTTGTAAAAAATAATAATTAAAACTTAACTTTAATAGACAATATCTTGATGAGTTTAAGACTATCTTGATAATTTAAAAAACTTTAAATTTATCAATTTTAAATTATTGAGATAGTTTTAAAATTTATTAAGATATTGTCTATTAAAGTTAAGTATTAATTTGTTTTTTTTTACAAAATCAAATTTTATAGTTTTTGTTATTTGTTGGATTATTAATAAAAAAGTACTTTATTACATCTAAACATGAACATGTTTATAAACTTTAAACTAAACTTGAACTGAACTATTATTTGTATTTAAGTTCAGTTTAGGTTTAAAGATTGTTAGCTTGAGTTTGGGTTCAAAAATAGCAAAATTGTGAATTTGAGTTTGGGTTTGGTTTTAGCCAAACTTGAACCAAACTGAACCCAAATATCAAAGCTCTAATTACTAACCTAGTTTTTTCTTTTACTTATTCAATTACTTTGTTTAGTATTACTTTTTGTATAATTTGTTTAAAAGGTTGGCTATTATTTTTTTCTTGATCAGTTTTGATCATTTTGTATTTTTGTTTATATTTTTTTTCTATTTGTCTTTTTTGTTATTGTTTTTATTTTTTTTTCTAAAAAATTTTTTGTCAACTTTTTGTCTTTTATTTAAACATTAGATTATTATCTTTAAATTTTTAGTAATCTTATACTAACTTTTTTGCCAAATACCTTAAATTCTTTATTTAACTTACTTTTTTTTATTTCTGTAACTTTTTATCTTTGTTTTATTTTTATATATTTAATTAATTTTTGTATTTTAATAGTAATCTTTTCTTATTGTTAATCTTTTTGACTATGATTTTTATTTATTATTGTATTATAGATTTTTTTCTTAGATATGTATTTATTTATTACTGTTATAATAATCTCTTTTATTAGATTTTATATGTTATTTATCTTTTGTATCTTCTTTTTTTCCTTTTGTTCTTCTTTTTGAATATATTTTAATATTTTTTTTAACTTCAACTATTTTTATAATTCTTGTATATAGTTCTTTCAATTTTCGCTTTTGTTTTATTATAGAAATATATTATTCTTAATTAACTTTTTCTTTTTATTTCTGTCTTGTTACTTTTTATTATCATCTATTTTATTTATTTTTCTACTATTACTATCTTGTGATTACTTTTATTAATTTCTTCTATATTATTAATTTCTGCTTTTTGTATTTTTTGATCATCTTGTATATTAAGAATTTTCTTTCTTTTTTTGTAAGATTTATTTTTGTAATTCTTAATATTGCAATTTCTTCTTCTTCTATTCAGCCAAACAGATTTTCAAGCTTTCAACCTTTGGTTTTTAGTCTATTAATATTATAACATACTATTTTTATTTATTTCTTTTTTTTTTCACTTTTTTCTTAGTTGGTATTGTTTTGTTTCTATGTTTCCTATTTTTTTTTTCTTTTCTGCTTTTCTTTTTGATAAAAAGATTCTATTCTAAAAAAATTTAACATATAACATTATAAAAAAACATTATTAAACAATTACAATTTTGAATTTTTAGTTATTAAAACCAATTCATAACAAACACTTATTCTTTAACTAGAACATATATAACAAAACAAAAGAAAAATTCTTTACTAATATAATATTTTAAAGTTTCAACTAATTAAATTTTTAACCTGTAATTTTTTTTTATAACATTATGCCAACTGTTTGTCACGAAAATTGTGATCGCTTCTTTTGATAATAATTTATTAGTAAGACACTTCGATTTCGTCAATCAATTTTATGTATATGTTTGATTCAGTGACATCATCAAATTATTGAATTTTAAGATGATCATAATTTAATTTTACATAGTTGACTGAGAAGCATGCCAACACCATAAACGATTTATTATTTTGGTAACAAATAGTAAAATATAGGCTAACTTTATTATAAACAAGATATATAATTTTTTTTTTTGCTTTAAGCCACCCTAGAAATTTCATAAGAACCTTCAAATACTAGAGAATGTAAAGCAACCTTTTCCTAAATTTTATATATAAATTTACACGACATACCAAATGACTGATACTGTATTTGTATATTAAATTACATATGTGAACATGTATACAGATAGTAAACTTTATGTACGATCGTATAATAACAGATAAACGGAGAGGAGAATTCATAATAAATCTATAATAATGCAACAGGCCTTTCGAGTAAGTATTTTATTAAAAAAAAAAAATAATACAATGATGGTCTATGCTATGTCATTCATATGTTAATATTTACATATTTTAATAATTAAAAAACGGGTTAAAAATAATGGTAAATAATTGATATAATAGTTCAATATTTTGATAAATCAAATTTTTTTTTTTAATATGGTATATTGTAATTAGCAGTAATAATTTCATACCATAAGAATTTTTTGCACACTGGTGTAAGTTTTTTTCGCAAGTAAAATTTTTGCGAGAATAAGCACCTCAGGGTAATCTAAGATGATGGATGTAATATGATACAAGTTTGACGATAGACTCATAAAAAGGACCTTTTATGAGACATGTATCAATGAACCTTGAAATATGAAATAATATGCAATAATATGAAATAACATGAAATAATATAATAATTAGAATATTGTTAATAAGAAATAACAAAGACAAGTAGCACATTTTTTTAAAAAAATAAAATAAATAGTTACTTGTTGAACTAGAAACTTTACGAATAGAGGGGAGACCTCCTTCCGGAGCAGTCACAAACGGGTTCAATGACTTACTAGTAAACAAAGAAGCCGAAAATGTAGGTGGAGGAGGCATTAATATCGGAGTTTCCGCCTGTCTTTTAAATTGTTTTTTCGCCAATGTATCAGCATCTTTTAATTGTTTAACTAAATCTTTAGAATCAGAAGATAACCTATTACACAATGATTTATCAGAAGACAAAATCCAATCTTCAATAGTCCCTCGAAGAACACGAGAATTTGGGCGTTTTTCAGGATTAGCATCCCAACAAATTGACATCAGATCAACATAAAATTGAGGTATACTTCTATCTATATCAGGACGAACACCATTACATATATCAGATACTAAATCTTTATCATGCTTATATTCGGAAAAAGGAGTTTGACCGACAGCAAGTTCCCACATAATTAAACCAAAACTATAAATGTCAGATGCTTTTGTGTAATAACCTTTAGAGAAAACTTCAGGAGCTACATATGGCATCACACCATATAATGGGGTAGTAGACATATCAGGAATATAGGCTAAAGATAAATCTAAAACTACATCACGTTCACGAAATCTTTTTTTGGTCAATAGATTTATTAAAGACTTTTTTTCCGATGAAGTCTTTAACACATTACCAGTATGTAAATCACCATGAACAAACTCACGGGAATGAAGAAAATCCAGAGCTCTTGCAATATCCCGAAGCATATACATTCTGTCAGACCAAAGTAAATGTTGTTGACGTATATAACCACGCAGGTCACCTTCATCAGCATATTCCATTACTAACATATAACCCTCAGTAGGGTGTTGTGTCATACCATAACAGCGGATCATGGGAAATTTTTGAGAAGCAGCGTCTAAATATATAGAAATCTAGAAAATATATAAATAAATATATATATATATAAATAAATTTTTTTTTTTAAAAAAAAAAAAGATTTTAACAAATAATAAAAATAAAAATAATAAAAACCTGTTCTTTTAAGAATTCAGAATCGGAGGTACAACCATTGTGTAATCTCTTTAGAACAACATCAATTAAATAATTGTTCTCTAAGTTATCCCATAAAGCATGATAGACAGCCGAAAAACCACCGTTGGCCATATATTTCAATTGAGACAAATTCATGAAAGGGATCCAAGACAGATAAGAATCTTTATTGAGTGGTTTAGTCTGAGTGTTTCGAATAAATTTATCGACATACTCGTTACCACTTGTCCATTCACCAAGCTTTTTTTGTAATTTTTGACCTTCGCAAGTTTTACACCAAGCTTTGTTGGAGAGTGACGTACCACAAGTTTTGCATACACCATAAAGTTTTTTTTGGTCTAGTTCCTCATTTATATCAACTTGATAATTATTTATTATTATATCTTGATCATTTTTTACAGACTTGTCCTAGAAAAAAGATAAATATAAATAAAACAAGAATTAAGAACATTAGTAAAGAATTAGAAAGCTTAATATACCTTTGGTCGTTTAAAAGGTAGAGAACAACAAATAATGGAATTAAGTTTAGTTGAATTTGTCATTATTTTTTACAGAGAAAGTTTTTCATATATAAAAGTAAAGGTACATGAGAGTGATAGTGGCTAAAACGAAAGTAAGCAACGTTTGGTACCTGCAGGAAATTTATCACTCTTTTTATGAAAAACAAAGAGAAGTCGTATCACGTAGCAGATCATAGCTAAAAAAAAGTTTTTTTTTTTTGTTTAATTAAAAATATAGATCGATTTAAAAGGTTTCACGCAAATTTCTGAGCTAATAATATTCACTTGAGCTTGAAAATTTCCTTTTCGTATATGATTAAGGTGTCGTACACATTTTGTATATCTGATATCAGATATCGATATATGAATACATACGTATATTAGATATCGATATATATATTAGATATCGATATATATGTTCATATAATGATAACGATAACTATTATTTTAAATTAAAAATTAAATTACCATAAAAAGTTATTATTTGATTGTATGCTTTATTTTGTAAATGCTATATAAATACTATGTATCAGGTATGTACGTACATACGTATACGTATTTGTATATTTTTTATTTTTTTGATAGACAATAGTTTATACAAATTAAACTTTTTTGATTATTAAAATCACATGATATTTTAATTATCAGAGCTCGTGAAAATTGGGTTTGATGCTTCGTGGTAATAAATTCATAGATCAATTCTCTCAAAATTTATTAAAGATCAGTTCTCTCAAAATTCATTAGATTTTTTCATTGTTCCTTGATAAGTTCTTGAATAGGTATATATTAAATAGTGGTATGATACTCAACATATTAAATAGTGGTATGACTTTCGTCAAAGTAATTATCGCATATATATATATATATATATATCCTAATTATATCAAAAAAGTGCAATGCGTGTTTTAATGCATGGCTTCATGAAAGTCAAAGATATTCTCACGGATTCAGTTATGATTATCAGTCTCGACACAATGGTTACTAGGTAAAACCTTAAATTTAGTTGAATAAGGTAAAATGGGTGAACTATTTATAACTCTTAATTACTATGTAAGTAATTACCAGTTTCTAATTACTATCATGGGATAATTCCTGATTCTTTGCATGGAAGCTTTTTGTTCATTTTTTGTGTGATGCTATTCTAATCAAAAACAGTTTATATATATGTTGTAAGTGAGAATTAGTTAGGGTTAGGGTGTTTATATGACAAAATCAACCCTCAAAATGCGGGTTTTATATAAAAATTCCAAATCCACTTACGACGTATACATTCGAAGAATAACGTACATATAAAGAAATATAAAATCTTATATAACGATAATTAATTAGCTAGCATTTATTCTTTCATACGTATACATATAACTATTATTAGCATATATGTATACGTATGTTCAATACTCAATGAAACAAATGAACCACTATTTCCTTATGTAGAACAATAAAAAAAGGGGATTTTCTTTAAGCATATCTAATTACCGATAAATTTGTAATATTTATTTGTAATATTTATTGACTGAAATTCTAATAGTAAAATTAATATATATAACTAACTATTCATTAGTACAGTTAACGCTAATTTTGAGTGTTAACATGTGTATTGTATGTACATATCGGTATTGCAGTAACACGAATTTATATCTATATATATATATTGATCTTCAGCATCTTATATTCGAAGATACTTATCCAAGTTTGCATCCTATTAGGATGCACATAATGAACATAATAAGACGAACAATAGAATTACTATGGCGCTTGAATTCTTTCTAAGAATATATCAAACTAAACAACTATAGAGATTAGTTTAGTATTGAATAAGAAAGAAAATGCACTGATCAAGAAAAATCAATACTAGAAATACTATATCTTTCCATCCCATTGAATACTATACGTACTACATTGCATAAGTGCATATTTCTACTTTCATTGAAGTGTTAAAAATTAATTTTAGACGCAAAGGTGGCATATTGAATAATTCATTTCGAACATGTGAATTTAAACCATACTTATGTTGCATTGTGTAAGTATAAAACTACAGTAACTAAAAAAAATCCGCCGAAAAATAAATGCCACGGTGGAACCACCCAGTGGAACCACAATGGAACCACAGTGGAGATGTGTACCAAGCCAAGCTTAATATATTAATATGTACATATCTTAAAAGAGATTCTCGCACATATTACGTGTTTATTGTCAAATCTAACTCTTTTAACGTATATGTATCACCAATACGTAGTCATATTTGGTTTGGTATTGTATGCAATAGAATTACGCAAATAAGTATACATATATATTGACTCGCGATTAAAGTGTGTGGACTTCAGGATTGCATGAACGTACGTACGTGTAAATTTTGGTTTCATTCATAACCGATAACATTAAAATTTAAGTGACTCGCCCCACCAAGAATTTTTGTAAAAATATACTAGTATGAAATTATATAATTATTTATATTTATCGTTTAACACATTAATTATAGCTAAAGTAATTATAGTGAAAAAATAGAACATGATACAAAATTATTTTTTAATTAGGGTAAGTGCCGAGTAGTATTATCGTTTTAGCCTCAAACTTATGGTCATGCCGTTATAAATTTTTACATCAATTGAGACTAATTCAATAATTGATATTTCTCGTAATGTTAGACATGTGCTAGACATCTAACGTATCATCTAACATGTGTCGTAATATCATTGTGTGTGCTGTAATATCAACGCATTTTGCATTGGAATTTACCACTAGAAAATAGTTAAATAAATTATCGGAAACAATAAATTTATTCATTATGTGTTAAAAGTCTCTACGATTCAATACAAATGAATGCTTTGGTTTTTTAATATTGTTTAAACCTGCAAATGATTCATCTAAATGACATACCTATATATTCTAATATATATATATATATTTATATATATATATAGTATACCATTTGTAGTATATTATATTATAACCCTTAATAAGTTTTTGTGTATCATGATTTTAAACCCTCAAGTTTGATCCTTACTATAAATAATCTAACTTTTTTCTTTTTAATTGGTCAAATATCTGAGTTTACGTTTAATTCATAATTTTTTGCTTTATTTATTAACAAAGAATATACCATTATGGTGGAATGTAAAATAATAATTTAAATAATATTTTTTATTAATGTTTTTCTCGAATATCTGTTAGTTACACATAATTTCTTAATTACAGCAAATACAGAAATATCACGATCTACGTCATTAAGCCACTTTTTTCGTCAATTTGTCGTCATTACATCTACACCTGACATAATCGACTAAGTCGTTTTAAATATCTAACCAATTCAAAAATTGTATAGATGGTACTAAAATAATCCATCATCGGTGTTGTGAATTATCTGGTACTATGGTTTTATATATTTCTTTCGTTTTGAGAATGTTCTAACTTTAATGTTGTAAAGTGTCAATTTTTTTTTTGATGGAACTTTCTATGTTGTTCATTGGATTAGCGAAGGTTAATATAATGAGATCGCCATACTTTGCCATTTTGATATGGTACATGAGGGCCCAGATTACATATAAAATTTTCGCCACTCTATTTTTAAAGTAAAATACGTAGGTCATGTACATGGCTTTATATATTAATCATGCAAAAACATTTAGGAAAACGGGCAACTCAAAATTGATTCTACGTAGGCGAAACACGTATAGTTAAATTATGTTAATTTGGTTAGTTATCATAAATTACAATACTAAAATTCTTAAAATTTTTTTTTTCCTCCTTCAGATTGTGACATTACAGTCAAACCTCCATATATGCATGCTCCATAAATGCACATCCTTATAATTGTACTATATGTCCTAGTTTCAACTACTAATGAACACTTATAAAATTATTCTTTTTAAATGCACATATATGTTTGGTCCCATATACTGTATAAAGGTTTGACTACATCTTTAACAATTACGAATAGTAATTTATATTTATCAAAGTATCAGTTTCAGCTAAGAAATCAAATGTGGTGCCCCTGAATAAAGTATGTGTTAGTATTGATATTTTACCCAACTGTTATGATACAGTCAAACCTCTATACAGTATATTGGACCAACCATAAGTGTGCATTTGTAAAAAGTATGCATTTAAAGGATGTAATTTTATAAGTGCCAATAGTAGTTGGGACTAAGAAATAGAGTTTGACTTTAATTGGAACTGAGACATAGAGTACAATTATAAAGAGTGTGCATTTATAGAATGTGCATATATGGAAGTTTTACTGTAAAAACCATTTGAAAATTATGGCAGATTAAATACTGATGAAGATAGCAGAATTGAACGTCTAAAGCGTGTCATCAATTTACCCATTAAGAAATGGTCAAAGCATTTAGCAATATCTTTTTTGCTTTAAATACGAATTATATCCATGGTAGCATCACCATGGTCCATGGGACTTGAGAGCCAAATGGTCACATTGCTACCAAGCCATTGATTGTTTGATTGTAAATTTACTATATATATATATATATATATATATGTGCTTAATTCATAGACATTCACTTTATGTGAACAAATTATTACCGTATTTTGTAGAATAAAGTACTTGATGCAAAAAGGAGATCTACACTATTTGACACGAGAGGTACTTTATTCTGCAAAATACGGTAATATTATCCCAACAGATTTAAACCTAAATTAATGATTCATAAATGTTACTGTTATTTACTGGATTCCTAATCTTCTTTATCCGGTTGAAAAGCAGTGATTAAAATTCAAAATAAACACCATTTGTACAAATTTATATTTTATATATTTTGTGCAGCTTTTTCTTAAAACAATTTACTTGCACACTTATTAAATTTTTTAAAAATCAACAAAAACTCGAAAGAGAGCGGAGAACGTACAACTTGGCCGAGTACGTCTATTAAGTGATACTTTATTGCGAGATGCCTCTCGTTAGAGCTGAATTACATTACTTACTACTTATATATCTATTCTCCTTTACTAAATATGCTTTTGCTACTCAATGCGCCTTTTGCATTACCAATATACCCTTTGTTGTCCAACAATTATGTACTCGATCTTACATTTTTTTCTAATATGATGTTGGTCCAGCCTCTTTTGCAATAACGGAAGTTTTATTGTTTCCTGTTGTAACATACCGTTAATATTATTTTCCAACAAGAAATGACACATTTGAACCATTTGAAAACGCCTCAAATATCAATCATATTATGTCAAGTCACCAGATTAGATTAATGTTTAATTTCAGAATATAACCTAAAATGTGCATTCAATTGATTAATGAATTAACGAAATATAAATGATTTCTTATTAATAGAACTTGCTTTTTTCTTTATGAGTGAATGAGTTACAGGCCCAGCCAAAAATTACCATATAAATCGTCCTGTGACAATGCACAGCTTACAAGGTGACATATACATCTTCAGAAGGCTACTATTACGATTCATTAACGAATTAATAATTAAAAGATCATATATACACTTGCCGCCCAAATCAGTACAAATCCTAAACCCCCCAAAAAACAATCGCCATTTATAAAAAAATTAAATGAACCAAAATGGGTTTGATACTTTGTAAATATATTCTAGTTTGGGATTTGGGCGACAAGTATAATCATATATTATGTTCATCTTATTCAAAAAATGGCACCTAACAAAGTAATATAAACATACCTTCTTTTAAACTTCATTTTCACCGAAATCCTCGTTTACTAGTTCGCCATAATAAACAACTATTGTTTTCAATTTTCCATTAACGTATACTTCTTGTATTTCACACGTGTTTCCTCTACCTGCAAGATTAGTAATCTTAGCAAGCCGTGTAAAATATATACACGCATATATATATATATATCAGTGATTATATTTAAATAAGTACAGTCTAATATAGCATAAAATAAAATAATTCATACCTGTTGGATATTTACATTACGAGGAAGATAGTAAGCGATATTGTTTGTAATTTTTAATGATTCACGATATAACTTTTCACTATAAAATTTTTAACTAGAAATCGTAAAGAAACATCACAAATTTAAATAAATACAAAAACATTTAAGAAAATTCTTTACCCATCCAATGTAATCATAGTTTTTATATCAAAAGTTTTAGAAGATAAATAATCTGGACCTATATTATAAACGAAATTGCAGGTAAATTAACAAGTTTTTGATGAATTGAAAGAATTCCTTGATAGCATTTACCTCCCCAAGGAGGGCTCAGAAACACGACATCAGCCTGTGAAACGGAATAAAAGCGTCATTAAAATAAATCAATACAACAGATTAATATGCGTTATTTACGAAATAACCTTTAATCTAGGAATAAGCTCCAAGTAATCACCCAAAATAAATTCAATCCGATCAGCAACGCCATATATCATAGCATTATGTTTGGCACACATCAGTCTTGTCTCATCTATATCAATTGCTATCACTATAAAGGAATTCAACAATCAAAAGATAAATTAATACTAATAATCATCAATTAATTAATACATCACTATAAAGGAATTCAACAATCAAAAGATAAATTAATACTAATCATCATCAATTAATTAATACGAATCTTACCTTTATGGCATGTAAAAGCAAACTGTATAGCATTTCCACCAACACCACAGAATGCATCAATAATTACGTCACAACGACAACGTTCCGCGATATGAATAGCAATGTCTTCTGGTGTTACCGAATACCAACCTTCTAATGACATTTAATAAATAAAGATAAATCTTTATAGTCACAAATGAAAGTTTATAAGGCAATTATCATTTATGACTGCACCTTCATCCATAAGAATGCCTTCCTTATATTTAGTAAATAAAATGGCGCGTTGGTTCCAATACCTTAAATGGGTAAAAAAAAAACAAAAAAAAAAGATAAGGAATTGTATAGAGACAATTGATCAAAAGAGTGAAATAAAACGAATACTTTTTTAAAAAATCCGGCATGGTTTCCATTGAAGAATGAAGTCTTTTTTCTAGTGTTGCTGACTGAATGCTAGAACTCATTTTTTCTTGAAGAATAAATTCTGCCGGAACGAATATAATTTAAAAAAATCTTGCAGTTGATCCTGCGATCTGATTGGCTATGCAGAATTTTTTTGGGTAATCTAAAAACAAGGAAATTATCGCGTCGTGTGATGTCGGGTTTCCAATATTCAAACTCCAACTTATCGTTATGATTACTCATAAGTGGAATCGCGCGACGCGATAATTAAGTTTCTAGATTTTGGATGTTGAAGTAACATTGTAATTTTCGATGAGAAATTGCCGAATTCTAAAAGATTTTCAATTTCATTGTTATTAAAGATACCTAAAATCTTGAGCTTCAAATTTTGGGACAACCTAAAGGTTTGCTCATTTTCGAAGGATAAATTAATGGAGCAACCAAAATTCAGAAGATTCGGATAAATTTCTCAAAGATTTACTAATACTAGGAAAACAGGAACTGTTGTAAGTCCGGAGCAAAAATTTAATTTATTTTAAAAATTTTACAAATATAAGGCCATACATTAATAAATTGGTTCTCATAACATAAAAATTTTAAAAGTGACCCGGCAACCCGGTTTTTAATTTTATTTTCAAAAAATTTTATATATAAAAAACTCACCCAGATAGTAAGTATACTTATAAATTTTGACCCGGCCCGAGTTATGAGAACCGATTTACGTATTAAGTTTGCATGGCCTAATTCATAAACTTAATTAATTTATTAATTTTATTTAACTGTTAAATTTTTTAAAAATAATATAACCAATAATAAAATTATTATAATAAATAACAAAATATCAAAATTAAATAGTTAACATTAATTTTATTAAATATAAGCTAAACACTTACATATGAGTGCGCCCAAGGGAAAACCTGTCATCGGGCTTTCAATTATATTTTGTGTACAGTTTGTTGTCTATCTGCCGTCTATTACTACATCGGACTTATCGTTATGATTATATTTTGACCCCTGAAATTAAATGATTGACATTTTTGTGTAACATACTGCTTAACGTTAATACTGTAGTTAAAAAGTTTAATTTTCATATAAAGCTCGCACATTAGTACTAACTAAATATTTTTGTAGAATTTAATGTTGCGACTTATACCAAAAGAAGTTTGTTGGAACAAACTTAAATCTGAGAGAGAAGCATTAACGGTTGCTTATACCAGAACTCCTTTGGAAGAAAAGCATTGGCATTTTGCAAGAACATCACACTGATTTATTTAAATATTGGCAGTAATTGAATTGATCTAGGAAGAGGTAAAGTGTTAACAGAATCATTTTATGAGAACATAGTTCTGACTCCTTTAGTTTTAGGCTAATTAGATTGGCTTTGAAGTAGGAAAAGCATTAATACCCACTTAACAAGAACTTCACGTTGATTTTTTTAAATATAATAGTACTTTATTGATCCGGAAAGAGGTAGAGTCACTTTACGAGAACATAATTCTGGCTACTTGGATCAGACAACAAAAAAAAATGTTAAATGCTTTTTGTAGGGACTTTACAACCTTCTTTGGATCTTAATAATATCAAATTAAAAAAGAAACAATCAATAGCTAATGCATTTTACAAGAACTCTACAATAGCTTCTTTAGTTTTTTATTACTGTTTATGATGTTTTTTATTATCACTTAACTATATTTTTATGATTTTAATTAGATCCTGAAGACAAAAACGTTGAAAATAACTGTGATCCTGATTAGAGCAGAGTATTTAGAAGTTAGGTATATTATACTAGGTTAGCGATTAGAGTGAATAGTAGACTATAGATATTATGATTTATTGTGACCATTATGTAATGATCAAATATATTGTATTATAATTTTTTTTAATAAATAAGAATAATTATTAAATACAATAAAAATAATAAATTATAGTAATTGTAAAAATGTATTTTTTTTATTAAAGTTTTGAATGTTGAGAAAATTATAAACTGCTCAAAACATTAGGAAGCAATTAATTTGTCAATGTAATAAACTAGTTCTAAGCAAATTATTACAAATTTTGTATAATGGCTATTCTAATTTTATAAATATATTTTTTTTAATTCTGATTCATTTCGTAAAGTTGTTTTATCTGCATCAATAACAAATAGATATTTGCTAAGTTAGTAACCTATCAATTTAATCTAAAAATTTTTTATTGCAAAAAAAGCTATAAAAATGCAGTATACCGCCCTTAACTTTTAATTTGATCTAATTAAAACTTTTTAATAAAATTCGATCGAAAATTTAAATCAGATTTCTCAAAAGTACATAACAATAATACCTTATAAAATGGAATTTTCTGAAAATATAGAACACTTTCTTGACACATATGATTCTATCTTTTCAGAATTAAGCTCTGAAGAAATAGATAAGAACATATACACTGAAGAAACAGAAATTTCTCAATTAGATGAATCAAGTGACGAAAATACTATAAATAAAGAGTCTGACATTATAAAGATTTCTGAGACCACTGTAAATAATCTTATCGAAAAACTTCAAAAATGTTGTTCATGCGAAAGTAAATGTAGTGAAAAGGTTCTATCAGATTTGCTACAATCCTTAGTATTGAAAAGTCTTCAAATAAATAAAAAGCAGCGTCATTATTCAATGTTAATACTTATTTTATCTTCTAATTCTAAATTATTTCCTAAACAAACAATTAAAAAATATTCATTATCTTACTTTGATGATATTTGTTTTTTATTTTTTCAAATGTTTTGGAGATTTGGTTATAATGCTTTTCGACATGTAAGTAGTTGGATCAGAGAATGTAAATCAATATTACCACAACCTCATGGAAATATTGAATGACAACCTAAAAATACTTTATCTGATAAAACTGTTAATGAAGCAAAACTTTTTATTAAAACACTTAGAAAGCAGCAAGGTGAAGCATTAGCTGTTAGAAAATATACTCGAACAAGAGTTAATAGAAAAATAACTGTTAATTATGAAAAAGATAATGTTATTCTTCTTCCATTTCATTATTCTTATAATCGTCTCCTTGCTGCTTACAACTTGATACACTCTGAAAATTTTATTAAAAGTAGTATGAGTTTTCAAAAAATATGAAGAGATGATACTGAGCTTAGTAAGATACTAATTAGAAAACCATCCAAGAATGTTTGTGATGAATACATCCTATATAAGCATGCATTAAAAAAAAGTATTAATGACACAAATGAAGACCTTGATATACAGTTAATAACACATATATTAGATTATCAGGCAATGAGAGATGCTTATGAAGATAATATAAAAAATACAAAAACCTATGATCATTCTTTGTTTTGTGTTTTTTCATTTAATTTTGTCCAAAACATGGAATTGCCTTATAACCCTCAACAACCTGGAAGTTGGTTTTATTGATCATTATTAAAAGTACATCAGTTTAGTTTCGTAGATGAAAGCATTAATAAACATTGACATTGTATCTATACTGAAGGCAAAGCCTTAAAAGAAGCAAATGAAGTTGCTTTGATGTTATATTTTTTTCTTATTTCAGAAATAGGTAAAGCAAACAAAATCTAACTATGGGCTAATAATTGTGGAGGCCAAAATAAGAATTCGTATATTCTTTAGTATCTTCTTTGGATCTATGTTACTAAAAAATTTCATAAAATTGAGTATTGATTTCAAATTAAGGGCCATACAAGAAATTCTGTTGATCGTGGATTTGACAGTACAAAACATATGTATGCCAAATTCGAAGCTTGGTGTATGGATCATATGGTTGATATAATAAAACAAAGTGCAAGTAATAATATTTTAGTTAATTTTGAAAAACAAGAGGAAGTCTTTCGTGACTGGACATCAATGTTTAGTACATTATATTGTAAACCTTCTGCTATTCAAAAGTATCATTTCTTTCAATTTAATTATGAAAGAACTGGTATAATCTAAGCTAAAATAAGGATTAGTGACTCTTGAGATGAATTTCAATTATTAAAAAAATGCTAATCCACTTAGTCTAAATACAATGAATTTTAAAAAACTTCTGCCTAGAGGTCTTCCAGAAGAGAAACAGGTAAATCTTTGAGACAAAATTCATAAATATTATCCAACTGAATTTCAAGATGAACTCTGTTCAAAGCCTCCAAATGATGTAATAGAAAGAGTGAAAAGAAAAATGAAAAGAAAAATGAAGGATAGTTAGTTATCTGTTATGTAAAATATAATTTAGAGAAATAATACTAATATTAACAATAAAATCGATTTGTAACATGATCCAAAAATAATACCTGTAATCAGTTTACTGTGCAGACTGTGCGCAATATATAGAATCAAAATTTTGTGCACATCTTCTTTTGAACAGATGTGCAGATGCCACACAGAAAAAATCAATATTTTGTAAATAGTAAGTTTTCTTTATTTGTTACACAAATAAATTTCCAAATTGTGTGACATCTGCACACAATAAATTTCCTTATATCAAGAAAATCCTAAGCTAACAGCCAAAAAGATATAGATCATTGTATATCAAAAATTCACTATATATTTAATATTAACAATCATGTTTTATAAGTAAAATTTCATTCTGAAAACTTTTACTTAGAGGTTGGAAGTTAGTTATCAAGTAAATTTTTGTGTTATTTACATTTTTTTACAATTTCTTATGTTTTTCATATTTGTTTTGTTACATGAGATCCTATTTCTTATGTTTTTCATGTTTGTTTTGTTATATAAGATCCTATGATTTGATTGGATCTGGATAGGGTCAAAAGTGATCTTTAGCGATCTTTAGTCTGAGATTTTCTTAACACAAGGGTATCCAATAATATACTGTACGTAATGTAAATTTTTTAGAAGTTGCAAGATGTAATTTAAAATCTAACAATAAACAGCACATAAATGGCAAACTGTACACAAAATATAATTAAAAACCTGATGACAGGTTTTTTCTTGGGTGCACTCAAATGTAAATACTTAAATATTAATAAACTAGCAAAAGATGATACTTATGTTGTAAAAAGTATAATAGTAACAAAACTATTAATTCAAAAAAATCTACAATAAAGGCTAAGGTTAATAAATATAAATATAATTACATATAAGCAAGTGAAACTATATAGAAACTTAGCTTTTAGTAAATTTTACTTTTATTTATAAAAAATTTCTTAATTTTTTATTTTATTTTCTATCTACTAATATAATATAAACAATATAATCAAATAAAAATATTAGTTCTTTTAGTTAACTTAAATATTACATAATATAGTTTTTTTTAATAATTTTTTTAATTTATATATCTTCCTAACTATCTGGTTTTATTATCTTGAGACAGAACAAAAAAGGAAAAAAAAAGTAAATCTTGAATTTCTTAGCTTTCATTTTTCATGTTTGCTGATTAACAACTTTGGTACCTTGTTATTGTGAAATCATTAATCTATATTTACTGGTTGCTTTGTACAAAGAAGTCTGATCTGATGAATATTATATTTGAATATTTAGTAAATATTCGAAAATTCGAATATATATTTAATGAAAATTCAGTGAATATTTGAATATTCATCCATTCAAATTTTTTGGTAAATATTCGGATATTGAGAAGATTGAATAAATAGATATATGAACATATGAACATATTCACTATGTTCGTATGTATGTAGTAGATATATGATATGTTCATATGACATACTAGATACGTACATGATATTACATTATTATTGAATGAAGAATTTTGATTGGTTAACTATATTATAAAAAATTTTTTCAAATCCCGCTTTACTGACCCGGCCAGGATATAAAAACCAATTATATAAATTTGTGTGGCCTAATATAAATTAGTTAATTTAATATAAATTTTCTTAAGCATTAATAAATATAGTATAAAATCTTGTACGTATTAAGAAATGTGTTTTGATATTCCTTATTGGTTGAAAATGTTCAGAAAATTTTTCAATAATATTAAATTCGCATTGTTGCTTATTGGTTGAAAATGTTCAGAAAATTTTTCAATAATATTAAATTCGCATTGTATCCCTTATTTTATAAATTATTTTTAAGCAAATTTGCCTGAAAAATTTGAGCGAAGATATCTTGACAATTACCTAACCAAATTAATAATTTTTTTTTATTTGAATTCTATAAACTTACAAAATTCAAATATTCAAATAAAAAAAAATTTATTAAATTTGATTTTTTAAAAAAACCAAAACAATAACATTTATAACAATTTTTTTAAAAACATATCGATATTTTCTGATTTTGAAAAATCATGTGATATGAAAATTCTAGGCAAATTTGCCTGGAATACAGTTTAAGGGATACGTTAAAAAATTTACTTTATGAAATGTTCGTAATTGTTTGGTTAAGTTAATAATTAAATTTGAATTAAAAAGTCCATCTTTTTACATATTTGAAATGAACTTGAATATACGTTATTAACGATTACTTTTCAATTAATAAATTTATAAATTTATTGTCTTCGCTATTCTAAATCATTTATTTACTGATATTTATTATATAAACCTATTTCTGACATAATGTATACCAATATACTATAATATTCTCCAATCTCAAAAAACATAACAGTTTTTAGACGGTTTTTAAAAGTCTAAAATATAAAGTTTCTTTTAAAAAGTGTAGGGGTTTTTTTATCATTAATAAATAGTAAATCGAATGTAATGTTATTTAAACAAATCTGATGCTTTTCATAAAAATTTTTACTTTTAGTAACTCTTAAGTGTACCATAATACTCGTACCTCCCTTACGTAGAAGTTTGAATGGAACGGAAAAAATCCACAATACCAATACCGCTTGCAGTGTCCTCTTGTGACCTATTGGCTAAGACCTTATGGCCTAAAATTTCCTTTTTTTGGTCACATCGACATAATCCCAATTATGGTTTATGATTAGGAAGAGAGGCATAAGACCTGGAGGATGTTAAAATAACAAATTTGTTCATTAGGATAGCTATGGCTTTATAATTTTATAGAATTTCTAATGTCAATATTATTTAGAAAACTATTGTAACTAATTCAATTCGATGCATAAAAAGCTTGAAATTTACCAATTTATCGTTCGAATTGGCAACTTATTGAAATAGCTTCTTTTTTTTTTTTATCAACAAAGTATTCGCCGGATTGAAGTGAAGATTTGTACTATGAGAGAAATGGGATCTTTGCTAACAAACGACTCTTCTGATTATAACTTACGGGTCGTTTTATTAGCAAAGATCCGGAATAGATGCTGCGGCATTAGCATATCTCATTTTTATTTACTTGACTTGTCGTGGGATAAAATTCTTTTTCAAAAAAAAATTGACGTAATAAAGCATATCAATGATGAAAATGAATAATTATGACGGATTTTGTAAAGTCTCATGATAATAAATTTACGTCATCGACTTAAATAAATAAATTGGCTTCTTCCCACAGTTCAGGTGTCAAGAAAATCGAATGAAATCTTTTTTTTAAAAAATATTCACAATTTTTAAGCTATGACGGATTCAAAGAAACCGCAAGAACAGACACAATCCCACCCATTTGAAACTGGGGATGAAATTAGTAAAAACTCTAAGGACAAAGAGAATGAAGAAAATAAGAGTTCTTTTGAAGCCATTATTGAAGCTGGTGCACGAACTGGTATAACCATTTTATCATTGAAGGTATTTTTACGTGCCAGTACTAATTTTTTTAAAAAATAGTCGCACTTGTAGATGAAAATGTTATGATGGCCATGCCTGAACTTTTGGAAAAAAAATCTTATAAAAAAATTCTTATGAACACGAAATGACACGTCCATTCATCACCAATTCTTAAACTGATTGGTGGTAGGTGGTGAATTTAGCTTAAGTATTTAGATTTAGATTTTACATCGAGTGATAATATATCATTTTTGATCCAAAATTAGGTTCGAATCTACTTCCTATGTGATTTGTTTTTTCGGAAGCACTGAAATTTTCTTTTCAAGTCATAGTAAATTCAAATTAACAAACGCTGGATTTTTCTTAACGTAACAGAATAGATTACCATGTTTATTTTTTACAGATATATTTTTTTATAAACGCCAAATGCAAATATTAAAGATGCTTAAAGCATGATACTGTTACAGTCAGCTCATTTTATTATAAATACAATAAATTGAATTTAACATTAAGATTCTTCCAATTCTTTAAGATAACGTAATGTCGATTTTTTTAAACAGTGTGTGTATCTTTAAAGTGATCCTAACTTATAATTAAAAATATCTTCTAAAGCCAATATTTAGCTTTGTTTTTTAAAAAGTTGGTCGATTTTACATATGTATGAATTTACGTATATCGATATACGGTCTACCCTCTTTATAGTGGATCCATAATTATAAAGAGAAATCTTAAAATTCTCTAAGAATTTAATATTTTTATTATTATGCTATATAATGTTATAGCGGATATTTCATTATAACGGATTTATAATATACAAAATTTCCAGCCCGATCACGTTATAAGAATAATAATTATCTGTCTAACGCTAAGCTTTGCACAAATGCTTCCCGCATATCGGTCCGATGATTTTTTGTGGCGCAATTATTTTCAAAGTAAACATATCAGCGCAGAAAGTCAGGCTGCGGCACAGAGTTTGCAGAATTATGCAAAATTACGTTACGTTACGCACGTACGTATACAATTCATGCAAATCATGTAATAAAAACTCATCACTTTCACATTGCATTGGCGATTGAGGAGGAATGTTTGATTGCCATTTATATGTGGATCGTGAAAGAGATTATGAACCGTAAATCTAATATGTTCAATACATCAGATGATCATGGTTTTTCAAACAAAAATCTCAATGCTTCATGCGATAAAGAACATCATCGTTCTAGCTCTTCTCCCGAATATAATGACACTTTTCATAAAAGATTTACTGCCATTAAAGATTTGACTGAAAACTTGATAGGTGAATGAGAAAAAAAAAAATCAAAAAAAAAAATATTAAATTAAATTGTTTGATCGCCCCTTTATAAAAATAGGCAAAACAGTGTCGGTCAGAGGCGCAGTAACGTACTCTTCTGGGATAAAGTTATATGCATCAGAAGTCACTTTTACGTGTGCGGAGTGTAACGTATGTCAGACATTAGAATTTAGTGGAGGAAAATATTATTTTCCATTCAAATGTAAAACTTGGGGATGTAAAAGCAAAGAGTTCACTCCCATATTAAAATATAATGAGGAAACAAATAAAAAAGAATTTGCTGATTGGCAAATAATTAGGTAGGGTTATTCTTATTGAAATATTCTAAAGCGAGTCATTGCTGGATGTAAATTTATCCATTGAATGGTAAAGGCTTCAAGAAGTATGGGATGGTTATGGTGAAGCTGCAGCACTTCCAATGATCATTGATTGCGAATTACGTGACGAATTGGTAGATACTGCCAAACCAGGTGACTTTGTTTCTGTTACTGGTAAACTTGAAGTCCATGAAATTCCAGGTAACATAACTTTCATCTAGATCTAGTATTGCTCTTACGGTTTATATATTAGATAAGTGATGTAAATTAATGGTTTATTTGTCAGTTAATGAAAAAGCGAAAGGTTCTATGATGCACAATCTTTATATTGGTGTTACTGAGATTAAGAAAATCTTGATCTTTGAAAACTTTTCACGTGACTGTCGCGAAAATCTTACGAACCCCGAGGACACATATTTTTCGCTGACCGATTTGTTCAAAATAAAACATGTCATTGACTTTCAATCTGATGACCTTTTCAAGGTATTTTTGAAATTTGAAAATGTAAAACGATTGAAAATAAGAATAAATGTAATAAATGTTTAATCCTTCAACATATAACAGCGAATAGTTAATTCATTTTGTCCGAATGTTTACGGACACGAGATTGTTAAGGGTAATTATAATTATTATCATCATTAAAGAATTTACTAATTTACTGATTTGCACTCTATTATCGTAGCCGGAATCTTATTAACTCTATTTGGTGGAACTGATGATAGTGCAATTAATGTCTTAATCGTTGGTTCGTATAATTTCGTATAAAGTGTTAAAGTGCATTTTGTAATCTCTATTGATAATTGTATTGTGATATTTCATTTAATATACGTAAAAGGCGATCCCGGAACAGATAAAAGAGACTTTCTCGACGCAGCAAATAAAGTAGCTCCGCATACTGTATTCACACCAATAACCCAAGCCGGTAACTCTCCTTTAATGCCGTTATTGCACCATGATAAACGATCGGGAGACTTAATTCTTGAAGCTGGTTGGTTAACAGCATATAATTTTATTAACTTATTAAAATTTAAGAATAAAATATAAATGTCGTAGGATCATTTGCATTGAGCAATACGGGAATTTGTCGAATTGATGATTTTGAAAAGATAACTCAACCTAATGCTCTTGCGGAAGCAATGTCTAGACAAACAATCTCGTGAGTAGTGGATTTCATTTGTTTAAATCAACTTTATATACTGATACAATTATTTTTATCAGAATTTACAAAGCCGGCGTAACATGTTCATTAACTGCTCGAACTAGTATAATGTGAATGCTTAATATTAACTTTTCCGTTTGCTCATTCAAATATTCTATTATTGAATAATATTATCTTTCGAACCATGCAGTGCATCGGCCAACCCGATTGGTGGACATTATAAGTAAAGATTTAAATCGGAAATAAATTTCGTATGATTATGGCTAACGATAAATTCAATGATATATATTATAATATTATTATAGTAGAACTAAATTGCTATCAGAAAACCTTAAAATCGGAAACGCTCTTTTGTCGAATTTCGACCTTATTTTCTTATTGCTGGATATTCCAGATGAAGAAATGGATCATTATCTCTCTGAGCGCGTTATGACGGTTATTATTAGTTTTTTATATGTTGTAAAGATGTCTATAGAATAAGCTTAATACATTTTATTATTATTATTATTATTATTATTATTATTATTATTATTATTATTATTATTATTATTTGTCAATAGGTTCATTCAGGTGTTTATTCAGAAGATAAATTAGACAAATCACAGAGATATGGTAATATATGTGTTAGTTACATCAATTACATCAAGTTTATCCGCATGATTTAACAATCCGATAATTGATAGTTCCTTCACCGAGTAACATAAACATAAGTCATTTAGTTGGTATCCTGCCATTATCTAAACGATTAAAGATTAGCACAGAGGACAAAGATATGACTGTGCTACCTCTATCACTTTTACAAAAATATATTGCATATGCGCGTAAGTATGTTCACCCACGGTACGTGTCATCATTTGGTTGCCTTAACATAATATTCGCTCTTATTTATTTTTATTTTTTTCCTAAATATTTACTTTCATGTCAAGTCTTTCACAAGAAGCACGAGAAATGATCAAGACATTCTTTGTGAATATGCGACATAAATATCAATTTGTGGATGGAACGCAAATAACAATCCGACAATTAGAAACAATGGTACGATTATCGCAAGCCAGGGCCCGAATGGAATTGAGGGACATTGTAATTAGTGAAGATGTTGAAGATGTTGCAGAAATAATGTATTTATTATAGTGATATAATATTATGATATTTATGATGGATTGAAATTGTTCATTTATTAATGTGAATGAAAATTGTCATAGGGAGTTTTGTCTTTTTAGAATTCAAAAAGATGATTTTGGAAATATTCGAACTAAAGCAAAGACAAAAGCTGGTAAACAACCTACACATGTAAATATGTGTCTCATTGCTTAATATGATAACATGTCAATTATTTTATTTAGTTATGAGATCTGGAAAGCAGGCAGAAGCAAAGAGGTATTTAGTATCCTTTTATTTTCACGTTCCATTGTTAATTAAATATTCTACCGTTTTACGCAGATTTTTAAACGAGCTTCAAAGACTTGGAAACGTAAAAGGAAACTACGTATTTACGATTCAAGACATGCAACAAATTGCCACAGGTAATTATACTATAAATGTATAACTTGTCATTTTTGTCGTAGCAAACCATCAGGTTGTCTTTTTTTTATATATATATATATATAATAGACTCAAATATTCGATATGATAATTTTCAATCTTTTATCGATTTCTTAAATGACCAAAGTTTGATTTTAAAGAAAGGACCGGGAACTTTCCAGCTGAGGCCATGAACTCGTTTAGTATTTAATTAGTTACCAAATTTATAGTTATAAAAGTATTATTATTAAATGGCTTTTATGTATGCAATTGTCTGTACTTTAAGGGTTCTCATAGTTTGATATGATGTTAAAACATTCGTTTCTCAAATTACGATTTATTATCCGAATTATTTAAATAAAGTATAACTTTACAAACCATCGAATAAATTAAACAATTTATAATTTGAATGAAAGCTTTTTTAATATTCGATTTTATTATATTGTTTGGAACTAATAAGACTATGTATATACTTTTTTTTTTCAGATTAAAAATATACCAAGAATGCACCAAACATTTTTATAACATTAATTTCTAGGATGTACAAGAAATTAGGAAGAAAAGGTGCTATAAATAATTGAAAACATTTAATATTACAATGGTCCTGCCGATTAAATTAACGTCTAAGAGTTTTATAAATCATTATCTAAATAAAAAAATTCCATCAAACCCAGACTTTATGGGCGTTTAGCTTTTGAGTGTTTCCTATTTCTCGATGATTTTACAGTAACACGGATACAATCATCTTGAGAACCGCGTTTAGCAACTGGCATAATAACTGGCTGATGAGATTCTGATGAAGACATGCTACAAATTCTATATCTACCAGGGGATAATTTTTCGTCAACGACTACACTAAGCACGCCTTTGTCAGCAGCTTCATTTAAACCTTTAAAAAAACTAAACTCCCTAGCATCCGGAGCATCATCTTCTGACCCCAAAGATTGGACGACGATATGAGCATGCCCCTTAATTGTCCCATCATCAAGTGCTTGTGGCAAAAGATAGTATTCTTTGTCCGGATTGCTAAAGTGTCCTGTGTTAAGATGATTAATTTTAACTGCGACTTTGAAATTTGTTCCAGCATTCAAGACTTGTTCGTTTTTAGGCTGAAGGATTAAAGAGGAAGTCATATGCTCAATCGCTGGGAGTTGTCCCTGTACAAGACTTGAGCAAGCGCCAGTTTTAATTTGAGAACCATCTGAATCACGACCTCCTAATGCTTTACAAAATGCATCAGGTTTGGGTGGTTTAAGTTTATTAGGTGTGGCATCGATAGGGGAGATTAACGATAATAAAAGAATTGTTAGAGTAATTCCAAAGATAACCTTCATTTTTTTTAGTAGATATACTTGGAAAATATCGAGTCAGGGAAAATATTAAAAAATATTTTTCGAGTGAAGATGCCAAAAGAAATAATTTAGAAAGGATTGCAATAAAATACAGAGGCCAAAACCACAGCTTTAAATATATAAGCAATGCGTAAAAATTTTACACTGTGTATGTATATAATCACGCTAGTATATAATCACGCTAATCATTAAATTATTAAACATAGATGTTCTAAACGTAAATTATGACAAAAAAGGTTCCAAATTGATTAAGACCAACAATCGACCTTTTGTATAAATAATTAATTCATATTTGCACGGAATTTAAATGATCCATGTGAGTTCTTGCGCAATAACCATAAGAATTCTTTCGATTTATGAATACTTTTTTTAGAAACATCAGGTGTAAAGGGAAAATTTAAGATAATCTTGAATGAATCTTAAATGAGTTCGATATTCGGTACCAGAAATTAATATCTGGTAATAAAAATTTTTTTTCGAATATGGGATCTTTGCCTTGAAAATCAAGTTATGAGACATAGTAAACTATATGTCTCATAACTTGATTTTCAAGGCAAAACCCCATATAAAAAAATGCCTTCTCATTATTGTTATTATAAATATCTATCTTATGTAACACGTATTATATAGTAAATTCGGGAATATCCATATAAAATTTATATGATTGAAGTCTGAGTGTCATCCATATGATACGTATGCACGTGCGTGCGGGGCTTAAATTTTCACGTCATTACTCAATTCCGAATTGCTTCCAGATTCTTGTTCCATGGAATGACTGAACAGGACTTTTAGCTCCTACCGAAAAAAAATAATACAAAGAAAAAGGTTAATTATTCAAATTAATTTGATGAACGATATGCATTTATACGAACTCATTTAACGTTAATAACATTAATGCAGAAATTTTATAATTATTCCTATTTCTAGTATGATACCCGATCACCATGTATAAAAATCGTAAGATTTTAACATTATGTATATAAAGGGAAATTTACTTTTGCCCAATACCTATAACTCGAGATTAGAGGTACCGATATTAATATTTTTACCACAACTTAATATAATTATGGCAAAGTTACTGCATCTCTACCCAACACTGCTAATATTTGGACATCGTAGGAATATAAATTTGGTTTAGCAATTACCTTAGTAATTAATCAACATATTGCAATATATATTATAGGATACAGCTTAACTTTTTATCGATAAACTTTCTTGCACATAATAGTAAAAATAAATTAAGTAATTACGAACATATTAATTGGAAATGTAAACAAAGACAATGCCAACGCTAATTAGCTGACTAGAAGAATTCAAATTTGAAGATATAAGAACATCTTTAAAACATAGATTTTCACAACTCGCGGATGGCTGAAACTCAATCATCTGATTAGCGTGATTTGTAAAATTTAGCCAATAGGATTTTTTATTTTTAGTTTCATCGGCATCCGCGTCAATTTATGGATTAATGTATTTGTTTACTATATATATATACAGTATATATATATATATATATATAATTAGTTACATAATTATGTAATTGGCTAGTTTTACGTAGATTAACAGCTGTTTTCATAAGTTATGAGACTTGGCAAATCATAAGTTCTGAGACTTGGCAAATTTAATGTTAATTATCAAATATATTCTTGGCTTATATGCTTGGCAAATGATATTGATGAAAAAAATCAAAACTATGTTTTTATTTCTAGTTTTTATATAATTATTGCTATATATGAAAATGCCAATTTTTTCAAGAGTTTTTTTTACATGAATTAATTTAGAATAAAATTAAGATCATTTTTCACTTAAGATATGGAAGTAGTTGTATTAATAAAATTTGGCAGTATAACTCTTTAAAGTTTGCATTTTCTTATGATTTATTATAAGATTTATAATATAAAAATTGATTTTCCGAAGATCTTTTTTTTTTGTCATTTTCGGCCCTTTTCCCAGTACCTAGCCCATATGTTTTAGGATCTGGTCGTATCCCGGATTAGAATCGTGTGGGGAACTAGAATAAATAAAATATCTTTTTAAAAATTACAAATTCTTAACAGGGACTGTTCCGAATCGGGCCGATGCCAATTTAGAGTAGAGATAGAACTAATTGATTCATACGTATGAATAATCCGAATTTTGCTAATTATCATTATACGGGTTATCAAGCTTTTATTGGTAACCGAATTTTAATTGCGCTTGTCATGAGAGGGATAATATATGGGGGTAAGTCAATAGAAACGCACCAAATCTTTTTTAGTAAAATATTTTTGCAACTTTAAACAAAGGTAACTTGACAAGGAATTATTCAAATTTAATAAAATTTTTTTTAACCAAATTTTATAAGAATTTAGAATTAATTTTTAAAAAAAATTATTAAATATGATTAAGTTCTTGCTAAGTTATTTGGGTTTAAAGTTTCAAAAAAAATTACTTAGAAAAAATTTGGTGCGTTTCTATTGACTCACCCCCATATAGTTATTGGATGCGAAGCAGCAATAACAGAAATTATCCGACAGCTTACTATGATTTATCTGCTCAATAATTTTATTATTGGACAGAAAAGAAAGTTTAAAACATTCATCTGCTCAATAATAAAACTATTGGGCAGAAAATTATAATAAACCGCATAACGAAAGTGGTTAGTCATGGCGATTACGCAATCGGCGATCACTTCTTTGGCGTAGCTCGATAAATATACGTTACACAACCTATAATATTACAGAAATGACGCATATTAATTAAATTAAATTCGCTTAGGTGACGATCCTCCTATTGCTGATTGGACAAAATTGATCACGTAACTGTACAGGTTGATCCCCGTTTTATGCTTATGAAATTAATATGATAAAAAAAGACTGCGAATCCTGAAATTTATACTTGTTTTTTTGATCACAAAGTGTTAAATGTATCTGTTGAATCTTCAAAGAGATTCAAAATTGCCGCTGTTCAATGAATATTTGAAGAAGTTAATTATAACAAAATTTCGAATATTACTCGTCATAATTTATAATTTTTAAATTATAACTTTTAAACAGTAGCAGTAGATAGTAGCACATACTATTTTCTTTCACTTATTACTATACATAGTATCTAGCTTATATATTGTTTCGCATTCGTGATAATTAAGTTATTGAGACCAGTTATGCGTTAAGAATGTTAAAACATTAATAATATGTATTTATCTATCTAAACTAACAACCAAACTAAAGAGTTATTATATTAATTCTACTAAATTTAAAACTTTCTTGCATATAATAATTTTAAATTATTTTAAAATTGTGGTTGCTAAGTTGCTTTCATGTTTATAATTAAAATATTAAATAAATAAAACACTTGAATAATCAAATTTACTTTACTAAATTATGAAAAAACTTTTATTTGCAACTACTAATTAGTTCAATTGTTTTGAAGTATTCTTGAACAATATTCTAATATATATAAAAAATAAAAAATTAAAATATATTTTGTTTTTTGATCTTTGTATTCAGTACAATTTGAAGAATTTTCTGCTTATTAACTTTTGGCATAACTTTGGTTCTAGTAATTCTTGCTCTTTAACTTAAACAATTTGCTAAAAAACTTCATACAAACTTTTAATATTTTGAATTTTTCTTTTTTTCTATTTTATAATAATTGAAACAAAATCTTTTTATTTTTATTTTTTTTTATAGTTAAAGTTCCTATCTTGGAAATGCAATATTTTTATTCAAGTATATTAAAACACAGCATGTCACCAGGGGTTCACCTTACATTGGAGATTACAACTAGCCACATGTGCACTTTTGGTACTTAATTTAAGTAGTCCATTTACACATTACTATATAAGTTCTACACTAGTTATTATATCTGCAAGCCAACTAGAGGTCTTGCCTATTTAAACCCTCTATATATATAATCCTCTTTGTATTATGAGAACATCACAAGGTTACACCCATTCAAGTTCTTGATATTTGTTGTTACCCTTAGAATTAATTTATCCTTAACAGAAAACTTACTAGAGCCTTTATGTTCTACATATATAAATCTAGTTTTATGCAACACACTATAGTTACCTAACACTTGCAATTATATAGATTATCTGTTTAACCATTATATTACACTATTTCTACTCTTATAAAGTTCACTAGAACTCCAGTACCTATTTTTTCAACATCTTCTCTATTATCTTCTACTAGTTACAACTTAAAACTGTCAATCTCATTCCAGACTACCAATCTAGATGACTTGGTATGATATACTTCTGTATTCTTTTCTTCTAATGAATCTGATGGCCTGGTTAGTTATATGCTCCTCTACACATATTTGATGTCTAATTTTAACTATTAGTTCCTATGAAGATGTTTTATAGGCTTCAACCAGTCTGATGATACTGTCAAAAATTCATGCTACCTCTTTCTTTAGGAATTTTTAAGTGGGTTTCTGTTACCTCAGTTCCTTAGTCTTTTATATTCAATGATCTTATTGTAAATTTGCATTAAAGTCTTATGCAATACTGATTATATATTCCTCTATGTACATATAATGTTACACTTTGCATAGATGTTTTAAGCTCCTAATATTAGTAGGACCTGACTTGGTGTACTGGGTTATAGTTATATGAGGCCAACCGATCAACAGAAGACAGTTATCATAATGCAGATATAATTTTCAAATTTCATTATAGATAAAATTTAAACCTTAAACCTGCCACTTAGAGGATGACAACCCAACTACTACACTAGGATTGCTATTCTCTACAAAATCTTTTTATAATTTAGCAATTTTAATATTTTTATTATAGATTTTATTATTTATTATTTAAACAAAAAAAATACTTTTAAAAGATAATTATTATATCTTTATTTAATAAAAAAAAAAATTAAAAAAATTCACTAATCATATTTATTATTCTTTATATTATTATTATTAATGTAAAGTTAAATCAATATAACAAAAATATATTTACATATTAGTTGATATTTTTTATAATCTAAATCTGTACA